GATTTTAAAAGCCTGAAATCAGGTCCCAAAGTGATAGCTTAGCGGCTAAAGTCCTTGCCTTGCACGTGCCAGGATCCCATATGGGCGCCGGTTCTAATTGCCTCAGCAACAGCCATTGTGGCTGCTTGGGGAGTGAATCATCAAACAGAAGATCTTTCTGTCCTCTCTGTGTATCTGACTTTGTAATAAAAATAAAATAAATCTTTAAGAAGCCTGAAATTATATGAAATGTCTTTTCTAATCACAATGGAACGAAATTAGAAATCAAGAACTGAAGAAAAATGGTAAAATCCACAAATTTGTGAAAGTTAAACTGCACATCCTACACTATTTTCAAAGTTGTGATTTCAAAGAAAATAGAAGAAAAATTATAAAACACCTTGACACAAATGAAACTGAAAACACATTAAAGCATATGAGTGGTAAAGGTAGTACTGAGAGAGAAATTTCTAGCTGTACATGACTTTGTAAGAAAACTTCACAATTTTATACCTTAGGGAGTGGGAGAGCAAAAGACAGTGTAGAAGTAATAAAATCATAAATATTAGAGATTTAAAAAAATAGATACGAAAAACCTCAAAAGTTGGTTCTTTGTTAAGACAGTAAGACTGATAAACCTTTGGCTACAAAAAGGGGTCCAACTGTAAAAGTCAGAAGTGCAGGTGGGAATTTTACTGTGAACTTGCATATATACAGAGGATAAGAGATGTTAAGAACAATCGTATGTCAAATACAACACATCGATAACCTACATTAAGCATGTATCTCATTAAAACTGTTCCGCAACTGAAAAATCTAGTAAATCCTACCACTGTCAGGGATTGAAACAGTAATCAAAACCTCTCAAACAGAAAGGGTATTCATGATGATTTCTACTAAGCATGAAAAAGTTTAACAACAATCCTTCAAGCCCTTCAAAAAGCTGAAGGAACAGAAGCACTTTATACTTACTTCATTAAAGTTAACACTACCCTTATACCGAAGCTAAAGAAAGATACAGAAAATGAAAATGCATAACAATTTCCATCATGAGTATTTATATCAAAATCCTCAACAAAGTACTACTACAGAATCCAGCAACATGTAAAAGGATTGTACACCATGATCAGCTGGAATTTATTCTTAATATGCAAAGATTGCTCAATGTACAAGATTAATCAAAGTGACATCACACACATTAACTGAATGAAAGAAAAAATCATACATGATAATCTCAATTGATAAGCAAAAGGGTTTGACCGAATCCAATATTCTTCTGCAACATAATAAATAGATTAGGACTAGAAGGAAACCTCCTTAACAATAAGGGCCACGACTAAAACACTCACAACTAAGGTCCTACTCAGTGCAAGTTTTTCCAGTAAGATCAGTACCAAGAAAAGAATGCCCCGCCTACTCTATTCAACAAAATGGTGGAGTTCTATCTAGCACGAGAAAGCAAGAAAAGGAAATAAGGCATGCAAATTGTTAAGAAAAATACAAAATTACCCCATACATGCAGATAATATAGCATTATATGCAGAAAATCCTAAAGATCACACTCCACTGCCAATGAATTCAGCAAAAATATAAGATGTAAATCAATAAATAAAATCAACTGCATGTTTTCTAAACATTAACAATAAAAACCAGAAAAGGAAATTAATAATCCCATTTATATTTACATCAGAAACAGTACACAGCTAGAATTAATTTAATGAAGGTGAAAAAAAGATTAGTATGTTAAGAAATAAGATAACCTGCAGAAAGAAATTACAGAGGACTAACGGGAAGGCATTCTATATTCACAGACTGGAAGACTTACTGTAAGTTAGTTGGGAGGGCAAAGCCCCCTGAGACAATAGATGTCAGAGAAGGTGTGGGTGAAGTTTATTGGAGGGGAGATGAAAAACGACAGGATGAAAGTTACCAACTGGGAAAGATGTGCATCCTAACATTGTTACCCCTAAGCAAGCAGAGAGGAGGAGGCAGTCCTTCCTGGGTTATACTAGGAATAAAACCTCCCCTGAGGGTTTTCCAAACTTCATCTGGGAGAAGTGTGGCTGTACAGGTAGCTTTGCAAAGACTATTTTGTGAAGCCAGGTGGGACCAGAGACTCTGACACCTGGTGAGGAAGAGGAGAGGAAGCAAAGTCAGTAGAACTTGAAGAAGCCTGACCATCTCAAAGAATTCTCCTAGAAAAAGGACAAAAAGAAACTCATCTGACAGCTCAGACTATGCACTCGGCAAGAGGTCCAGGCACACATTCAGACTGCAAGGCAGCAAAGGGTAGAAAAGGCAACAGCAGCACAAGAGCCTTAAGGAGTGACAGGAGGAGAAGCAGAGCTGATGGGTGAGAGATTAAGGAGGCAGCAGGCCTGTGCTGGAAGCCCTGGCTCCTGAAAACTTCATGTGGCCTCCTACTCCACTGACTGCTCCCATGGGAGATGGCTTTTTTTTTTTCCTGCAAGTTGAAAAGCAACTGCTTAGCTGTTATTGTTTCCTTACTACTCCTGGTTCCTTTGCAGTGATCCCAGCAGTGCAGCCATTCATTCACCCAACTTCCTTTATTCATGGAAGAGCCTGTTGCCCTCCCCAGCTGCCACTGCCTGGGCTGAATTCCCACCAGGAGTCTAGACTAAATCCACAGGTCCTGTTGTGGAGTTATATAAGGCTGTGTTTGGAAACAGTGATTTGCTCCCTTCCCGTTGGTCTGACTTTGGCCAATTTGTGGGTAGCCTGTGGGATCTAGCACAGGGACAGAAAGTGACCGGCAACAGAAAGGAGAGCACTTTTTCTGCTCCCCAATACCATTCTCCTGTGCTAGAAATGACAGCCAGAAACCACAACCAGCAGCATTTGCAGTGTGGTTAAGCTGGTGTATGACAGCTCAACAGACCACTGTACCAGCGATCTAACCCAAGATCATTGCTCTCTGTATTTGCTATCACGTGAGTCAGCTGGTTCCTCTTCAGATCTCTGCTTAAATTCGTGGCAGTTAGAAAAAGAAAGGAAAAACCACTACCTAGAACCCTTCAGAAAGGGTACTGGCAACATCTAACTACTGTGACTTACAGCTTTTGATCAAGATGTAACTTCAAACACATTTAAAACACATATTAATAATATTGTTATTGTTAACAATTGCAAAATATCTGGAGTAACTCATGTGGTGATAGAGACAGCCTGAGTAAAGATGGTACAATGTTTTGCACAGCTAAAAAAAAAATGGTCTTCTACGGGATGATTTCTAGTACATACTGGTAAGTGAAAAATGCCAATGCAATAGAATACTGCTGCACTCACGTTAAAAAAGGATGGTTGACATAAGAATAAACATACCCACGTGTCTGTCATGAAGGCCTACACAGACTAAGAGCAGCAAACCAAGAATGAGGAGATGAGGCTGGGGCAGCTGAGAGGACACGGCATATACCTTTCAAATCTTATTATGTAACTCAGGGAACAAGAGTCATATCCAAAATAAAAGCAATTTAGAGTAACCATGGTGTGACAGGAGACAACACATATAAACAGTCTCAAAATTGATCTAAGCATATTATAAATAAGGTGACATGACCACATGGAGAGAGGAAAATAGTCAAGATTAGGGAACTATTTTGACAGTAATGCTAAAAAGAACTGCACATAAACGAAATACTCTGATAGGAAATAAATCACAGGGATAGGATTAGTAATCCTATAATTATGTGTATAATAGGGTAGAACAATTTTTTTTTATATAATTAGGGTTGCATTTCTCACTACAAGAAAAGGACCCCTGGAAATGTGAATGGTTCTAGGGTTGTCTCAAGACAGTGGTGCCAGAAAGCAAAGGATTAAAAAATAATTGTGTACACTTATACAAGAAGCAATCTTGAGAAACTCCTAATGACTAAAGCTTGATCTCTAACCAATAAAATAACATATTATGGAAAAGCAGCATTATAATGCAACAGAATAATAACATGCTTATGAACTCACACTGATTTAAGTAACTGAATAAAGTGAAGCTAAGCTGGCTCTTATAAGAGCATTCTAATAAATACATGTAGAAAGGATCATGGAACTTGAAAATTACTAATAACTATACAGGTAGAAAGCACCAATGACTACTAAAACGAATGAGCGAAAGGCTACTCGCACGACCTCAAAGAAAAGTAACTTGACAGTGCAGACAACCTTTAGACGGCCCCTTAATGAAAGGACTGAAGTTCATGTCACTAGCAGTAGGTCAGTCAGTACTGTGGACTCCTGCCTCACTGACAGGATATGCTGAGAAAGCCTCAGCGTTTCTGTGGGGTTCCTGACAGCAACACATATCCTTAATGGAATCCATATGAAAACATTAGGCACAAATCAAACTGACGAATATTTGCACTAAGTAACTTCTTCGAGCACTCTTCAAACACATCAGTATCATGAAAGACCAAGCAAAACTGACCACCAAAGACAGAGGGGCGCAGGAACGCAGGACACTGAAAAGCAATGTAGGAAATACCACTGGTAGGAGTGGCGATATCTGAATCAGATCCACCGATTAGGCAGGGACACTGTATCCACGCTAACTTTGCAGTTTTGCCGTGATTTTGCCAAGGCACAGAACTCTAAGGGGAATGTAAGCAAATACATATGAGAATGCTACAATTTTTATGACTTTCTGAAAGTTTAAAACTTAAAAATAAAGTTAAAGAAAAGAGCATATTTAAATTTGGGGGGACTATGATTTGGTATGTTCATAATTATTTACCAAGCTGAACAAATATTTCTAATTATTATTTTTACATCAGATAATCTTGAGGAAGTGTCTCTACAAACGTGTAATTCTTTTCATTTATTTGCACGTTTACAATGAGAAGTGTAGTGATTATTTTTAACCCATGATAGAGAACTCCTTGAGAACACTCAGATGCCTACCTCTTCTGTAACTTGTGGTTTCACCACGTTAATGTTCACTAAGTATATTGTAATTGAGTAAAAATTATGTTAATATTTCAATGATACATGAATTAGTTACTTACGCTCAATAAAGGAAGTAAAGAGCATTCTAAATCTGCTAAGCCGGCTGCCTTCATCTGCCCACATCCGTATCACTCCAACTCCTGTTTTAAGCATCACGTCATTGGCCACAGTGCTGCAAAACTTAGCCTTCAGATTTTCAATAGAACTGCTTCCATCATAGACTGCGACAAAGTTTCTCTTGCATTCATTCGAGTGCTCCATTTGATAATCTAAGAACCTCAAATAAATCTGTAACATTAAAACAGAAATACTGCTTCAAAAAAAAGATCATTTGGGTTTTTCTATTATCCGGTCAAAATGATAGACTGAATACTATAGCTGAAAGAAAAACACAATAGACAAAAGGCTGAAGCCTCAGTAGTTAATAGAACTAAAAAATTGGTTCTTTCATAATGGGAACAACCATGAAGGAACTGGAGTTCAGTGTTTTTATTATAAAGACAGATAACTTCTTGCTCCAGTGAGGCATAACTAGACTACGGATTTCCCTTTTGCAAAAGCAATTTCAAGGGCATTCAGCTAGAGGTTAAGACGCAAATTAAAAGGCCTAAGTGACTGTGTCTGGGTTTCACTCCTGGCTCTGGCTCCTAAGCAGCTTCCTGAAGCTAATTCAGAATCTAGAACGTAGTGGTGATGACCCAAGTCATCGAGTTCTTGTTGCCCACATGGGAGACCTGGATTCAGCTGCTGGCTCCCTGGATTGGTTCCAGCTTTTTTCCTTAGGAGCAAAAGCAGCCTCATGGTACCAACAAAGAACAGTCACTCACAATTCTATCAAACAGTGTGACTAAACAGTGAGCTTCTTTCCAGTCTGTACATTTTAAAACCTAAGATTCACTGTAATATGTGCAATGCACAGAAAGACTGCCTTTGCTCTTACACACCCAAAGTGCTCTTTTTGCAATCTATACTCTGGATAGCCATATGCACTCCTAGGTTGTCCTCAGGATAGAATTCCTGTTTTATACCTCCTTTTCTCAGAGATTTTACTCTTTAAGTAATTATGTCAACATTTCAGACAAAATATGAACTATACCATCCAAATAAGTATTATCAGCACAGTCTTTACACTTTACAGACATTTGGCTACTTAGCACTAAGATTTCTTAAAATATATTAGTCCATTCTTGTTTGCAGATTTCCTTTGCATGGTGGGCTTACAAGGACTTTAAGCATTAATGTCTGGAAGAATCTAATGAAGTCATGTCATGATTTATAGGTACAGAGACTCAGCAATGTCACTGGGTTATTAAGGCAAGCATCTGAGTTCAGATTGGTCTAATTCCAAAACATGTGTTATTCCCAATGTATAGTGTGTCTTATACATTGACATGTCATGTTCTCCAGTTGCTCATATGTGACTCTGCAATTTAAAGAAAATTATGAGTACAGAATGAAGATTTTCTCTGAATTTCACTTGGTTGAGGTAGCAGAATGCCACCTCCATCCTTTCAGGTGCTATATAAAACAAAAAAAAGTCATGTCACAGGTTTTTCTTTTCTAAAATACTTTGATGGGAGAAAACTAAAAGCAATTAATTAACAAATACAGTTCAAACAGTTAAGTTTATTGAAATGACCAGTTTTCTACTTTCATGAGCATGATGAAAAATGGCTAATGAAATAAGATTTTCATTTAAAAACTACAAAGTTCATCAGGCATATATTTTAGCATAAACGTGTTTATATATAAATACCATATTTATGTACATAGTTACCATTGACTCTCATTAACTTTTCAATTATTCTGTAATCAAACCACTCTGCTCATGGTTCTATGATAGTGAGCCATCACTTACACTGTAATTGTTTGCCTTCCCCATTACATTATAAGGTCTTCCAACAAGATTACAAGTTAAATTACCTCCCATACAATTCTTGCTTATAGAAGGTAATGAGTTAGTGACTGGATTTGTAAAATTGAATCGGCAGAACCAGGTATGGCCGGTCAAGTATTTACTTCCTGCTTTTATTTCAACAGCAAGATATGTACTCTTCAAAGATATATATATATTATATTACATATATAAATATATATATATTTAAAATCGAGACTTAAATATAAATCATGTGATAAGAATGGCATTCTTTCCTATTATGAACCAGTTAATAATTCAAGCAATTTTCAGAAAACATTTTCAGAAATGAAACCCTCAGAAAGTTACCACTGATAAATGGACTACAATACTTGGCTACCCTGCATTGTCAAAACACTGACATCTTTTTTAAAGAGTATTTTTCTTGAACATCATCCATTAACTGTTTCATCTCATTTTGAACATCCGAAAGTTATAACCTGTAACATTTTTTATTTAAAAATTTAAAAACCTTTAAAATTTAAAATGAAAATTCACTTAATAAAATCCAATAACATTCCCATGTCAACTGTGCATCAAATTTTAACTATCAATTTTCAAAAATCAGCATTCTCCAGCAGTCAATACTTGAAATATCTCCAATTTACATAAATATGGAATTATTTCTTCACAAATACTTCAATGAAGAGTAAGAAGATCTAAGAAACAAGGTTTAAGTTCATTTTAAGTATTTAATTCTAGCATTGCTAATGTTCTCTATTATTCCCAATATTCTTCCCAATTCCCTATTTTGCATGATTTTTTAATTCCTGTACCTTTTGATATTTTAAGAATCTTTAAAATCACAGTATTTTGAAATAGTTTATATTTTAAATTGCATCAGTTATAGAAAGACATCATCATTTGCACATTCTCCTAAGAGTTGCCTGGCTTCCTTCTGCCTTCAAGACGAATCTTCGGTAAGCATTCCTGCAGTCTCCTTACACACACAGGCTTACACTCTGTGGCTGCTTTGCAGCACATTATTTTCAGCTTTGCCAAAGAACATCAAACTACTTTCTAAAGTTGTAACAAATTTACAGCTCAAGCAAGAATTCCATCAAAAGGATTCCATTCCCCTCTGCTGCATCCTCTTGTGCTGCTCCTGTGTAGTCAAAATCACTTCCAGTTTCCATTAACAGCTACTATACATCCCCTTAAATGAAGAGCCACAAAACAAACTCAACATCCGGGAGAAAAAAGAAATTAACAACACCAAGAAGTTAAACAACATGCTATTAAATGACTAACGTGTAGCTGAAGAAATGAAAATCAAGAACCTTCTTGAAGAAAATGATGCCACTGCATGATCTACGAGTCACTGAATGATTTAATCAGAAGAAAGTGTTTTGAAGAGATGAAACCAACAAAACCCATGTGATATAGTTTCCGCTGATCTTTGTAGAGCTGTGTCTCCTCCAGACAATAAACAGATGGGTTTTGTTTTTTAATCCAGTCTACTAATCTATGATGTTTGAGCTTAAGCCATTTACATTTAGGGTTAATATATATGGGTGGTACTTTGGTCCTGTCATTTTAGGAATGGGTTGTTCATTGTTTAGTCTTCTGTTGTCATTTTACTGGGATGTTCTTCCCATTTGCCTTGGTTTTGTTGGGTGCTATTCCTCTTCTCTGTCAAAAGAACATCTTGAGGTATCCTTTCTAGGGCAGGTTTGGAAGAGGCAAATTCTTGTAACTTTTCTTTACTCTGGAAGAATTTTATTTCATTTTCAAAGACTAAAGAAAGCTTTGCTGGATATCTTATCCTAGGCCGACATGTCATTTAACTTCATGGCATTGTAAATTTCTATTTTTCTTTCTATTGTTGATTTTGTATTATGACTTTTCATTTAAGGGGATGTACAGTAGCTGTGAAATGGAGACTAACATCCAGATGTGAGGATGCAGTGTAGTATGCATTTCTGTTTCCAGACAAAGATGGACTTACAATGAAACTGTTTACTATATCTTGACAATAGGATTCTGGACTCTCTGCCATTGTCCATGCCTGCAATGATGGACATATGACTGAGTATGAAGAACTATATGTTAGTAATGATATAAAGGAACTAGGTGGGGGAGGAGGGAATTGGGGAGGGGATAAGGGAATATGGAACTGTATCATAAAATGATAGCAATAATAATAAAATGTAAAAAAAAACCAGGAAGAACAACAGTATCAGGGCTTCATATTGATGTACCCAAGTATGTGCCAATTTGCCGCAATGAATTTGTGCGCCATACAAATCTCTATTGATGTCATATTGCAAAATCATGTTCCCCCTGACAAAACAGCAACTTGATATTAAGTTAGTATCACTCCAGATATTATTCTTCTTTATATCACTTCCAGCCTTCATCCCTGGTGACCACGGTCTGATTCCTGTCCCACAGCTGTCACCTAACTCAAAGAATCACATATTTAACCTTTTTGGAGACTAGATTCTTTCGCCTGGTATGACATATTTGATAATTTATTTTTATTGTTGACTGTATTTCACTATACAGATGTACCAGTTTATTTTCTCAATAGTTAAATAACTGGATCGCTTCCAGTTTCTAGCTAGTAAACATTTACATAAGGGTTCCTTGTGTGAACACCAGTTTTCTTTTTTCCTGTATCTATGTCCACAAAAGACTGCCGAGTCATATGGCACTTTCATAGGAAGCCAGATGTTTCGCAGAGTGGCTAAATGATTTTACATTGCTGCCAGAAATGTATCAGAATCTCATTTGGTTTACAGTTCCCAGCACTTGGTGTTAATTTTCTTAAAATTATGTTTTTTTTTAAACAAAGGGGATATATTGTCACAAGATTATTTTAATTTGAATTTCATAATGACTAAATCTTTGGTGAATGCCAGTCAAAAGCCTGCCCATTTAAAAACTGATCTTTATTCTGAGCTTTGAGTAACGGACACACAGCAAATTTGCAGATGTTTTCTCCCAACGTAGGGGGTTTGTCTTTTCAAGAAGCAGCTATCTTTCACAAAGTTCTAAGAAATGAGTACAATTTATACATTTTCCCTTTATGGATGTCCCTTTGGTGTTATATCTAAGAACTCAAATTCAAAAATTTTCTTGTAAACATTTAATGGGCCTGACTCAGTGGTCTAGCGGCTAAAGTCTTCACCTTGAATGTGCCGGGATCCCATATGGGCGCCGGTTCTAATCCCGGCAGCTCCACTTCCCGTCCAGCTCCCTGCTTCTGGCCTGGGAAGGACAGCCCAAAGCCTTGGGACCCTGCATGTGTATGGGAGACCTGGAGGAAGTTCCTGGTTTCTGGCTCTGGATCAGCTCAGCTCCGGCCACTGTGGTCACTTGGGGAGCGAATCACTGGAAGGAAGTTCTTCCTCTCTGTCTTTCCTCCTTT